ACTGTCATCTGGTAGACTTCTTTCAAGTACTCACATAACCTGATGCTTTGTCATTTAGTTAAACCTCACCATTTATAATACATTGCTATAGTCTACATTCTTCCCTCTCTGATTCTGTATCATCTCACTTCAAAATTACAAAATTTTTTTGCATGTGTATTGATAGAGTACACTCTTTTTTTTCCTATCACCTGCAGGAAATCAGGTATCTGCTACTCACAGGAAAATAAGGTACCATTGTGACCATCTAACCCTACACAGTGGCAATATTGTATAACCTCATGTAATAATCTCTACATCAAGCCTGCAACTTGTGATGAAGTTAAATCTCAGTTAACATACAGAATTTAAATAATGACTTCCTTATGAAAGTTACAGAGCAGCATTTACTCTCACATTACTGTGCAGCAAACAATGTTCTCATTTATAAATCAGAGCAGGCTTGAATTTACATCTTAAAAGTTACTGAAGACAGTTGTAAAAGAGCCATGACTATTGAAACAAGAACAGCTTAATATTTCAAGAATTAGTGACATATTAGCGACATCCTCAGGTGCTGCTCTAGTCCACTTAAGGGAATGCCTCTAATCAAAGCCACTGTATACCTTAAGTGACACTATTCGATTAATGTAGAAAGTGATTAGGCCCACCTAATTATATATTGTTAAACATCTGGGGATCCTTCACACTTAGAGATTTTAAAACATTTTAACAATTGCACATTTGTTCAACATTTAAGTTCAATATGAAATTCATATTCAAAAGGAAAAAAAAAAGAAACAAAACCACAAATAGAGACTTAAAACTATGAAGGGGTGATGCCCCATTGCTTTGACATTGTCTGAGCATGGCAACAGAAAAAGCAGAACCCCCTATATTGACAATTGTTCTATTTTTAAAGTTTAATTTGAAACTTTGAAGTCTTGTGGAATATTTAGTGAGCATTTCTTGGCACACTGCAAGTTCTTATCTTCACAGTAAACTGAGATATAGGAGACTTTTACAGATTTACAGCTCACGTAACCTGATGCAACTAGATACCACAGCTGCATAAAAATGTGGAGAAATCATAAGATTAAATCTGTGAGTGTTTGATAGTTATATAAATGCTTTCTAATATTCCACAGGGTGATCGATCTTCATTTTTTTCCACTAAATAACTACAGGATTATGATACATAATTCATACATGGCACATACGTATACTATGAAGAACCATGCCAATCCAATGAAATCAAGGATTAAGGCTTGGAATTTTAGGTATTTCAGTATATCCTCTCCAATAAAAGGAACAAGGGAACATCAGCAAATTCTGTTGTGGTTTGTTTGTTTTTTTTTTCTGGAGGAGTTCAACTACATTGATCTTAAAGCTTCCCCTCCCTTACACCAGCCTCCCCCATCTCTTGATGCCTGCCTTTTATTGAAAGAGTTGGGTCACTATTCATGCAAATAACAAAACAATGCTGCCTCACATTTCATATAAAACAAGAAAGACTAGAGTGTCATCTTCACAAATGCCTTGTCTTCTACTCTGAGAAAGTTTTCTTCAGCCTCTTCATCGATTTTACCAGTTGCTCTGTGGAATATTCAAATGACTAAGGAGGACCCCCAAGATCTAGCTTCCCACCCTACCCCTAAACTCCTGGCTTAAGCATTGTTTTGGGAATGCCCATGCACTCTGTACTCTAATGCTTCAGAAATCACCAAGCAAATCAGTTGTTGGAATGGAAGACAGTTGTTCTTCGCATGCAGCAGCTGATATTAACAAAACAGCTACTAAAAATACATTCATTATACAATCACAAACTGGTAACTAGTAAATGTCACTGCCATTTGTGTATAATCCCATTCGCTGCTGTATGGTATTGGCACTAGACCATTCTCAAAGTTTAAGTTCACAGAGCAATTAGCAACCTACATCCAAGTACAACTGTTCTGGATTCTTTTTGGCATGGAGCTGTGTCTGTTTCTGTTGGAGATGACACAGCCCTTCTTATCTCCAGGCCTTAGATCATACATGCACAATCACTCTGAAATAATGATTACTAATAGATGCAGTTGAAATTTCCTAATAGATGTTGTGTCCTTTTCAGATACAGTTGTTTGGCCCTTTCCCAATACTATGATATTTTCTTTCATTGTTATATTAACAAAGGCAGAACAATGCCCATTCTCTGCAGGATTGCATTTTCATCCTTGTACTGATTATATGAAAGGGGATAACAAGTTTCCAGGTTTTCAGAGTCCAGCTTTTAATTTCTGGTTTGTACCCGCACATTCCAAAATGGTACATACAACATTTGTAGAACCCTGAAGCTGAAAGAGAAAACATAAAATAGGAAAGGTGAGGGGACAAGCAACACTTCCTTCTGTAAGACACTGATGAAGAGTATCATTCTCATTCAACATCTTCCACTGGGAAGCAATGAAGTCATTCCTCAACTGATAATTTACCTGTAGATGATTCATTTGTACCTTTACTACAAGTGTGGGCTTGTGGTTGCTAGAAACACTTGTTACCCGAGCAGAAATGTTTTCCTGTCTGAACAATGAATAAACTTGTCAGGTTCATGAACAAGAGTTTTTCTGGTAGAATAATAAAAGAGTCTAAGAAAAAAATTAGTCTCCAGATATAAAATAGCAAGACATAAAAATGTCTCACATATGTATGTTGAAGGAAGGGGGAAAGGAAGTATTGCTAAACAATATTGCCAGCTAGCAATAGAAAATCTTATTGAAGAGTTTCACAGTACTGCAGTGTGTATAGACACTCCAGTTAATTATCAAGCAAGTTCAGTTACACAGACAAGAAACCCTAAGGTTCAAGCAAGGTGGTTTTAATTTTAATCTCTGTTATATAAGATGATACTTGCCTTCAGTCCACATAAAAGGGCAATGTCCTTTTAACACACGGGAGTAAAGACCATACAGTAATACCATTTTGCAGTCAAAACCAAAGGAAAAAAAAAACAAAACCAAAGCACAGTTATTTGAACTTTCTCCCAAACCAGTATCAGACTCCACCAATTTAGTTGAAATAGTGAAATGACGTATAGACTTGTATTACTGCAGATGGAGATTAAATTCCTGTTCTGAAATAACTTTAGTCACCTTGGCAGAGAATACGGAAGCCCCTCCCACCTAAAGTACACACCAGGAGACTCCGGTTGCAGTGCAGCCTCTCTGTGGCACTTGCAGATCAGCATGTTGTATAGGAATGCTTGAAACGTGGACTTCAAATACCACAATGAACACAGACACTAGAATCCTGGGAGTGAGCTACAATTGTCCTCAAGACAAGTGAAACCTAGAATGCAAGCCCCAGTTAGAAACTAGAAAAACCCCACCTTTTCAAGTGAAACCTCACCATTTTCAAGTGAGGGATGAAACGTTCTTCTGTAATCAGACTCTGAAACAGATCTTTTGAACTACCTTGTGGGGTCCCCCCACCCTTGGCATTAGCCCTTGACTGGATGCAAGAACAAGGAGGAGAATGAAGTGGTAATACATACTGACAGGAGACTAAAGAGAGAAAACAGGAGAGAACAGCAATGAACAAATGTTCATCAGCTCTCTTTATAAACTTTTATTTACTAAAACGTTCCTTGAAGGTTTTCAGCATTAACACTGTTAATTTTAATCAATAATTGTCTCCATACGAGAAAAGTAACGAGACCTCTTCAAGATTATTGCACAAAAACCTGGCAGCAAACCATTAATAACCCTTTGAAAGGCATATATAAATCAGTTTCTGAAACTGTTACAGAATGTCACTAAAGTACAAAATAAATATACTGTTAAAGAATAGAAACTAAATACAATTACTTTTATTTAAATCAAGTCCAGCATGAAAATATTTTAATATGGCAAATATCCCAGCACTTCTTGCATGCATCCATAAACTAGCTGTTTCATCATCAGTGTGATTATATTTCCATCCCCTCCCCAAAATGTAGAACCTTGATAAGAAATGCAAAATAGATAAACTATAACATGAAACATTTTCTTTTAATATATATTCCCATTTTGGTATCTAATGCTTCATCTATAAATAGACGCTCTCAGACAAAAGAATCCTTTGTAAGTGTGTTACTCGGCTGTTTTAAGATTAAAATATTTTATAGGGATAAGTCCAAAGCAGTTCATTCTTCAGTTGTACTTCCAGTGGAAAAAAAAAAATATTGTAGTTCATTAAGTATCAAAACTGGAATTTGCATTTTATCAATAAGTGACTATATGCTAATAGGTATTTTATATCTAGTTCATAAAAAGTATTGCTTATCTGAGTGATAGGTAATTACTATATACAGGTACTCAAAGAGTAGATTAGAAACACCATGTAGTGCTGCTGTTAAAAGAAGTTTTTAAGTAGTACAAAAATTTCAATAATTTATGTCCTGATTTTTTTGTATGCGCTACCAAGAAAAAATTAAAGGAGATTTAAAAAAGTCAAAATGCTTATCCCAACTACTCTCAGATGAAGGAACAAACCCATCTATTTTTAAACAGAAATAAAGTATTGCCTATAATCAAGATTTTATACTAATTACAAATTCAATTTATCAAAGTAACATGGAGGCAGCATGTGGTAGATTTAAATTCATACAATCTGTTACAGCACAATTGAAAATTAGTGATCTAGAATTTTTAGTTTGTTTAAATCTGTGATTACAGCATACTGCTACATATTGTTCAGTCTTAAAGGCTAAGCCAAGAATTTATGATTCTCGTCCTAACATAAGCAAGTCTCATCTGCACCTTCTCTTAAACCTTTTTAGCAGCATAGTCAGCTTTATAAAGAGAAAAAGGCAAAAAATTACTATAATTTACATATTCTAATAAACTTCCCAAGGCATCGAAGGACCCAGCATGAAATTCCTATAACAACCAAAAAAAAAATATATATTAACATATACTTGCATTTACACTTTCAAAAATTTGTAGTTAGTATTAAGTTAGCCTATGAAGCAGTACTAAAGTGCAAAATATTTGGTATAATACCTAGTGATTAGCTTTTGCTTCTGCAGAATACAAAGCAGTGAGCCTGGCTCTTCCATTGACAGATATGGTGTTTGGTGGAGGACCAACCTGGAAGGAGGGGGGAAGAGAATAAGTATTAGCCTGAATTTTCAGATTCTTCTCTTCGTAGTATGTTGCACAGAATTACTTCAAGGACACAGAAATACTGTTACTTCAGTCGCTTTTTTTCTCATTGCAATTAAAGACCTCCTATATGATTTTTGAGCAAGGCACATATGCTTCAGAAGTAGAAATATAAGAAAATGCTTAAAACAATGTTTTATCCTACCTTAAAATTCTGTCTATAACTATGCAAAACACACGTAATTTTCAGTCCTTCTCCAGACCCGATTACAAAGAACTACTTGAAAAAACGTCACTAAACCGAACACTGTTAATTAAATATCGAATAAAGTCGATTTCTTACAAAATCTTGTAACACTCCCTTATACCACAGTAATGTTTGTTTTATTAGGAGCAAACTGTATCTTTTAGGGTAGACAGCAAAGACCTGATTTTCAGGAGAGCTGTATAAACCAACAACTCCAACTGCAGTTAATGGGCGCTGTGGATGCTCCACAGCCACACGAACCACGTACCACAGCATACAGTTTACTAAACACAGTGAAAACATTCCGAAGAGAAAAATGGTTAAAAAGAAACCTCACTTGACCCACTTTAGATTAGCAATTACTGAAGGCCCTACTGAACAGAAAAAAACGGCAACACAGAAGGGCACAGATATCAGCATTGCATATTCACAACATATTAAGTAAAATAGTGCAGGCAGGGGGAAATAAAGAATTTGGCTAGTGGTGCCAGCAGTTTTTTTCTTTAATGATTCTCTCACAGGGTTGAAAGACAGGAGAGTATGGTATGAGATAAAAAGAGAAGCAAGCACTTGTAGACCTCCTTCACAATTCAAATGGATCAAGTTATTACTCATTTTACTGAGTGAAGTATGATAGTGCAAGCTATGAGGTGAATGCATTTTCCAAGTCCTTTCCATGCTGGGAATCACTTTTAGGTGCTGATCAGTTATTGATACAAAATGCTTCATTTCTCTGTCCTGCTACTGCCAGTTCTCCATGTTAAACAGAAAATGAGACTCTTGTTTTTATTAAATTTGCCATAGGCCAAAAAACTCTCTGCTGTCAGAAGTACCTGTACCACACTGTGTTCTCAGAGTAAAAGTGAAAAGAACAGCGTGAACAGTTATGTTTGGCAAAATTCCAGTGGGTTCTTCATTGCATGTTTTGTGTGTGTGTGTTTCAGGTTTTTTTCAAGCCCATTTCAGGTTTCTGTGGTGCAGAATGCTTTTCCTTATGCTTACAGACTCTTCATTATTATAATTGCTCAAGAAGTATAATACAGCCTCAACAGATACTACACTGAGAAAGAATATCTCCTGCCCGCAGAAGAGAAAGGGAGGGGAAAAAGGTCTTCAGTCATCATCTTTCTCTCCTTCCCCAAGACATTCTTGTATTGTTGTGGTTTGAGGTGTGGGGGTGGGACAGGTGACAACCAGGACTCTGAGGGTCCCAGGAGGAAGCAGTTATCCCCTCCCTCTTCCTCTCCACACTCTATAAAAGAGGCAGGAGGTGAGTGCTGCAGTCTCTTTGGGCTGCGGAGAGCACAGCGGGGCTTCATCCACACAGTTCCGAGCAATCCTCCACCAGCCAAGATTTGGGTTTTGTACATCTTGTGTTTACTTTGTTTTCCCCCCATCTTTGTATATATACCTCCCTTCTTGTTTTCTGTTCCCTGCTAAACAATATACTTTATTTTTATTAACTTCCAAATTGGTGCAAAGTTTCTCTGACTCCTGACTTCCCTTTTTATCTGCCCATCTAGGGGAGAACTGAGAAATAGGGAGGGGGAGCACGAATTCTGCCCTGTGAGGTCCTGCCCTGAGCCCTTAAACGGAGACATGTACCTAGACTAATAAAAACTGCACAGGTCAAATCTACACTAAGAACATTTCCATTAGAAAAGAACAAAGTTTTTCTTTATTTTCTTTCTAACAGAAACAGACTTGAATTTTGAAAAGCAGGTCATGAAATTTTTTAAGTCTTTAAGTTATAAGTCACTGTGCCAACAGCTACACCTATGCATTATTTCCCATAGAATCATAACCCAAAGTTCACATGCTATATAAAATAAAGTTCAGTATATTCAGAATGTAATTACACATTGAAGTACATCTAAGAAGAATTATGGATCTGATAGAGTAATAAATAGAAAAATAAAGTCATCAGAACTTCTGTGCGTTACCTCCCTGCTTGCAGGGATTTGCAGTAGATGGCAGCTACTTCAGGTCTAAGGTGAAGCTACATTTAAAATTATACCACTTCAAACCATATAAAAACAAACAAATTAATATGTTCCTGATTTTATGAAAGAGATACTTAATTGATAACTTAGAGATTTCTAAAGAATTTCAGGAACATTCCTGATTGTCTTTGTACTGTTTGAAAATATGGACGTACGAAGCTTTGCATCTACTATTCTGCAAATCTGAACTTTCTTCCTAACCTCCTTTCCCACTATTAAGAGGCCTCCTGGAAGCACTTTGTGACACAGATAATTGCTTTTAGGGTCAAGCACTGACACGGTAATTTTGAAGGAAGTACCAGGAGTCCGTTATTACGGCCGCAATGATGAACACTCACCCTTTTCAACTTGGCAGCAGCTTCTCCGGAGCGGATGGCAGCCAGCAGGCTCTGGTGGATCTGTTCTGGGTCAGAGTGCGGGAACGTCATCGCCGGTTGTCTCTTAGTGACAGGAAGGAGCTGGTCAGCGGAAGCACCGGGCTGCGCCCGACTCTTCTGCTCGCTGTTCGCACTGCTGCCTTTCTGTAAAGGGAGGAAGTTGGAGGAAAAACCAAAACAAAAACCTTTAATCTGAAGTTAGTTTCTTCCATTTATGGAAATCCTTAAGTCAACCTGGCACAAGGCTGCATATCAAACTGCCACCATTCCACTGTTTGCTTCATTCCAAATTTCAGACATCAGCCATATTTCCACTACAGCACGTACTTTCTCCCTCAGATAATTATGCCAACAAAATTTTATACCTGCATTCAAGTGTTTGTGCCATGACCACTTGAAGCCAAACTGATAGCACTACTCAGAATGAAATTTCAGAAATCAACACACTGAACCATAAAGAACAAGTCATACGCAGTCCAAACACCAAAACAAGTATACACAGTGTAATTTGTACTATTTAACTTACCATTCTTTGAAGTAGAGGATGCCAATTATTGCAAGAAATAGTTCTTTCCAATAATCTCAATGAGGCTGTTTTCCCTTTAACACTCTCTGTAAGACGTTGTGCTACTGCTAGACACCACAAGGTATTTACACTGGATGAATACAGTGCTTTTTGATCAGGGAGCAGTTCAGAGGCTAGCCTCTAGACTAGTCACGCTAGATGACAGTGGATCAAAGGTTAACCATTATTAGAAATAAAGTTTACCTTATCGATTAGACTATTTTGAGACGCCCCTGTTATGGTCTCTGAGGAAGGGTTTTTCACTTGAGGCATGGAGCTGGCTGAGGAGAATTCAGCTGCTGAAGCAACAGAAGACAATTCAACAGGAAATTCTTCTCTCGGTGCCTGCCTAGTGATTGCACATGTCTTACTGAATGACTGTGACCTTTTGACTGCAGAGGAAACAGCAAGAGCAAAGGGGGATGGTCTTGAACTGGAGTATGGCTTTGGAACTGCAAAAGTTCTTAGAGTTCTTAGGTTTAATGGTGCTGGCAGACAAGAAGAAAAACCTGAAGGTTTATTGCTTTTAACAAGAGAAGTGGAGGATTCAGTATTTTTTCCATCATCAACTTTTTCTTCATCTGTTGGCAGAGAGGAAGGACTTGTTTTATGTAAAGACAAAGAAGCTGGATCAGGTGAGGAGATTTTTTTTCCCATCTCTGTATTCTTAGCTTCATTTTGAATGGAATTAGGAGCACAAATGGTACTTCTGGCAATTGCAGATGTCACGTAATGACCTGAAACTCTTCGTTGCATCTGCAGATAAAAAGAACTAGGCTTTGTTGTAGGACTTAATGCATTTGACTTGTCCTGAGTCTCAGAAGCAGCATTTGCATTATTCAGGCTTACTATCAGTGGGACAGGCTGTGTGGAAGACTCTGTTTCCGTCCCATTGCTCTCAGTAGTAATCTCGTCTCCAGATGTCACATGTTCAGAAAAGCTGTTCCTTCCATGAAGCAGATCATTTGCAGATGCAGGTTCATTTTGTGAACCAACCTGTGAATAACCCCCACTTTTCGGCATATAAAGAATTTCATCTTGCTCTATGAATTCTTTGGAGTCTTCAGGCTTCAGAGAGTTTTCCAAAGTTGATACCTCTTGATCCTTATTATCAGATGGAATTTCTGATTCCCAGCTCTTCATTATTTCTAAGGATTTTGGAGGCACTATTTTGTAAGTAGTCATTCCAATTTTTGGTATGTAATCCCTTGTAATTTCATTAGCAGGCTTAGGTTTAGGTTTGGTGTCCTGTCTATAAAGAGGATGACCTTTTACAGGAGAGCCATCTAGAGTTTTTGCAGTTGTTTCTGGTGAAGCGAAATTACTGCCATTTACACAAATGTGACTCTGATCTTTTATGGGAATAACTTTTTCTTGGATAACTTCTTGTCTTTCAAGATTTTGTTCTGTTGAGCTACATTCATCCTCTTGTATTCCATGCATCACTTGGAGATTGCTTGTGCCATGTTCAGGGACCAGTCCTCTGAAAGTGGATGATTCTGAACCCTCAGGGACAATAATTTCTTTCTGTGTAGCTCTTCCCAAATTGCTGTCCAATGGACCTGTCTGGATTGCAACATCCTGAGTTGTTACTGCATCCAAGCTGGTTTGATTTGTTTTCTGATCTTGCTTTTCTGGAATCAGTGGAGGATGATTTGTATGACTTACAGAGATATTATTTTTACATGCCTGACAGTTTGATAGTCTGTCAACTTCAAGCTTGTTATTTTCCCTAAAATCTACTGGTTTAATTTTGGTCGCCTGAAGTTCTTTCCCTTCTTCTGTTGTTGGAAGGAGTTTTGTATCACTGTGATCTTTAATTGAAAGAGAGATTCAAAAATTAATACGAATCCCCAAAAGATTCAGGCAAACCCCCCCCCCCCTTACATCACAAAGTCCCACATACAATGTATTTAACTACAAGGACTGGCTCCTCACTGATATTAAAAATTTCCTTAATACTTGCTTTTAAAAGCTATTTGAAGATATACTTATCTTTAACTAATATTGCCAAACAATAGTATTCTGTCTCAGTTATTCTTCCTTAATTAACAGGCTACTGGTGCCATGCATCACCTTAATAGAAAAATCTATTCTAGAATCAGTTTTAAAAACTGCTAATGAATTTCAGTTGATTATATAGGCATCAGTGACTCAAGGGCTCAAAGACTACTCAATATTATTAGGTTAGATGCAATTTTTTTTATTTCCACACTTTTGTGGCTTCTGTTTTTTAATTATAATTTTACAAATGTTATTTGTCAACTATACCTTGTGTATTTGTACAAGGGAACAACTGGAAAACATACGGACAAAAGCAATTTTTCAACTCTTATTTTTCCAGTTGTTTTTCTGGAGTGTTAATTCAATTTTCTACCCTGGGACTAAACACATGGTTTTCTCCAAAACACAGGAATATTTGGGTCAAATTATTTTAAATACAATATTGGGAAAAATAAAATTCTTTAGGAATAATTATTTGGGGTAGTATTTTGATTTTCAAAAAGTTTCTCCTCATTTCAAGTATGTTATAAAATGGCAGTTAAAACTTATATCACATATAAACAGGACTCATTCAGTAAGCTGTTATGATTTATGAACAGAGGTATGCTGGGTATAAAAGTCTATGGAAGGCCAAGTACATAAATCTGAAAATCAGTGTCACAAAAGGATAAAAGAGGTTACGAAATCAAGAGAAAAATTTACAATCTGCTACATGCAAAGAATGTTGTAATTTCAAATCAGTGTGTCACGTTGTTCTATGTGCATTTAAAACCATTGGCATTTTCATGCAGAAAGCTCATGCTAATTTTGTAAGCAAAGAACAACTGGTGGCCTCTGCTTTCCCACTGCAGTGCAGTGCACATGTCACACCATGTGGCAGGATAACCTCCTGTCCAGACTTCCCTCTCCTCAGCAAAGCACCACCCATACTGCCCTACAACAAGCACGATGCAGCTTTGACTACTGATAAAAAAACAATAATAAAAGCATTAAAAATAAAACTATAACTGCAGTAAATTCTTGACACCTCATCTCAAAGAGGATACACCAGAGCTAAAGAAATTATAAAGGAAATAAACTGATGATAGCAATTCAGGAGTTGACTGTATTGTCATTTTTTTCAAAGGAATAGAAAAGTTCTCTTCTGCCTTGCTTTGAAGTATTAGAAATGAGTGGGAACTACTCACCATCAGTTTTATTTTGATCCAAAATTCTAAGCCTCCTGTCATTTTCAAATGCAGCACGCTCACTGCTTATCTTGGTCTGTAGTCCTCTGCAAAGCACAACAGCACATTAAATATGCCAGTATCATTCATTTCAGTAAACACAAGACATGATGCAAGAGAACCAGCAACATTCTCCAAACACAGATGGCCAAAATAGAATCACTCTGCCAAACACCAGAGTACTCAACAGATTTATTTTTTTTTAAAACAAGAGGAAATGCTGCTATGACATTTTACCAAAATGATATGCAGCTTCATTCTTTTCTGTGTAAGCAGATTATCAGTCTTCCGTTCTCTTCTCCCCCTCTTTTTGTTTACTTGTGCAGTATGAACAAGCCCCTTTTCAGCAACAACTCAGTTTCAGTGAAGCCACAATGGTTTACAATTCACTTAACAACATCGATGTGAGCATTTAAAATGCATCCTTGATTTTGTCCCTGACACAATACACAGGAAGCTGCATGAGATGCTGACTGAATATGAGCAAATCAATTGTGCAGTAGACTTTGCAAAATAATAACGAAAAGTGTCTGTCCCCTTCAGGAAATACCTGAAGAACAACAAACACACAAACATGTTACTTGCACACTAAACATTTTGCAAACGCATAAAATTTCTGTCCTCAGATCACATGGTGCAACAAAACTGCATAAATGCTGAATCCCCCCCTCATTTCTTTGGGGGGATGTACCAAGTCCTTATCTCAAAAAGGCTAGAAAAAAGGCCAAGATACTTAAACCTTCTCATTAAAAAAATATTGCTGCTGTAAAATATCTTAAACAGAGATTTGATTTTCTGTAGTTAGAGACACTGGCATTATGAAGATTCCAATGCATTTGCCACATCAAATGTATTAGTTGTTTTAGCTTAAGGCAGTGATTCCTGACATCTGATTTGAATAAATCTAAATTATAAATTCCTCAATAACCATCCATGCATATGTTGCTTGTACAGTCCAAAATATACTGTAAGTGTCCAATAAACCACTAAACAGGAGAGTACACTCTCAAAATTATTGTTAGAAGAAAGCTAAAGCTCAGTCCTGCACTCTGTACTCTTGCTTATCTCCATTCCTTGAACAGAGCTGAGGGACTGAACTACAAGTGCTCACAACAGGCTGAACTGTTTAAAACAAAAAAAACTCACCACAGACCACCACAGAGTACCATTACAGAAATCAGTGGATTTGACTGGAATATTACACATGTCCATTGTTTGATTAAAAAGCACTTCTTCAAAGTAACTAGGTCTTTTATAAAAAAAAGGTTTTTCAGAAAGATAATGGCAGAGAAACCCTAATTCTCATTCTTTAATCCCTGTGATATTTCAGGGAAGACAATTGCCAAACTCTACAGTTAAAGCATAGAGCATGCTAGATAATATTCACCAGGATTATAGGCCATGAAAGACGATTACAAGTTAGTGGAGAAAAAAAGCAACATCCTCTGGACAAATGGCCAAACTGGCCCAATAACACAGGTCTGATAATCTGCAAGTTCAAGAAAACTTAAAAATTGCATTTGGCTGATCCTCCTCCTTGTAGATCCCTACAGAGCAGACACAAGCAACTGGCACAATATTTGTCAGGGCAGAGCACCACAGATTTTTGTAAAGCCCCCATTGGCTTTGGACTGACAAAAAAGGCCCTTGAAATACAAGTCAAAGCTCTCCACACTACCTTGAAAGTTCTTGGTTACTAGGGCAGTCACACATTTTGGCTGCAGTGCAATAACTGAAATAGTTCTTCCAGTTTAATTTGGGAACAGTAGCCAGTTTAGTTGCCCCAGGGAACAGAAAAAAACAGTGAATTACATTAACACAATGGGACTTCTCTGGACAATCAATGTTTATTTCAAGCAGGCAGTAACTCATGCTGGAAACCTGCTGCGTCAGGTAGCGTAACTAACAGGCTGAGGGGCAAAGGTATAGCATCACCAGAGGAGAAAAAGAGCGATGCAGGAAGCTACCGTGTTTATTCTTTAAAAAGGCAGGATTAACTTGTTTTCCCGAGAGCAGATGATTGGGACAGATCAACAGAACAGGCTAACTAAAATATAAGGAAAACACTAAAGAAAAATTAAAACAAAACAAATATGCAAGAAATAAATAACTGTGCCCAGATGAACAGACATGGCTGATGTACCTGGTTATACCCAAATGTAAAAATGAGTTTGTATATTTTCTTTTAACCAACCAATCCAATTTTTTTTTCACATCACACTTCTGTGGTAAATACACTGGGTATTTTGGAGCTGTCTTCAGCTTTTTTGGGGTCCAGCTGTTTGAGCAGTAAGAAAAGGGAGGCTTAAACAAAATATCCTGCAGAACACTTCTTTCTCATTTTTGTTGAAAAGCTTCATGAATTACTAAGTATGTTAAGCTCACTCCTCTCTCACAATTCTCTATTCTGTGCTCCACACTGAAACAGCACTCTATATGTTTTATCTGCCTCCCCCATTCTCTCCCCAGTGCTCCTTCCTTTGTCACAAAACGTACTTACTTGCCATCTGTGCTCATATTTTCTTGTTTTTCTTCCTTGAAGCTTTGTGAGTTGTCTACAGAAATACTGGCAGGAACTGGAGCTGATGAAGCAGGATCACTTTTTTCAGTTTCAACTTGTACCTCAGCAGAGCTGAAGGCTGCAGTGACCTCTCCTATCCCAAGAAAGGTATTTGTACTTTCACGGTCCTCTCTCTGTTGCACACTCATCTCTTCCCTTTCATCAATTTCTTCCAGGTTGTATTCTGAGCTCCTTGTACCTACACACACAGAAAAAAAAAAAACAAAAAAACATGACCAACCAACAAACAAAAAACTGAAACAAACCACAGCTCTCAATGCATGGTGTAGATACAAAGAGAAGTCAGCCCAAGCAGTTTGGAGAAGGAAAACAGACTTCTTTTCATGATTCAGGTCACAAAAAAAAAAAAAAAAAAGTAAAAAGACTTATTCAGTTTTAACTTCCCAATTCTCTCATTTTACACATGAGAATATGCTCATTGCCATGCTACTGTCCACCATTTCTGCATCTGTAATCATTATAACATTTTCCTTGTTTAACCCAAATACTGGATTAAAAAAGATCAAAATACATTTCACAATATCAAAATGATAAATTTCATAGAGACAGTTTATTTTTCCGAGATTCCTTAATACTTCCATTAGCTCTCCAATGAGGTTTGAAATACATGGTTCTTTTATAGTGGAGTACATACATGAGAGAACTAAAGACTAAATCTCAATTTTGCCCATGGTTTGAACAAGATTGATCACCACTACCAAAAATTCCCAATGATTATCCTAAGTGTATTAAAACATAGACATCTCTCGTGCAGTGCCCTGTGTTACAGTAGAAATGCACAAAAGTACACAGAAAAGTGTTAATCCATCAAAATAATGAAGTTTTCAGCTAGAGCATAATTAAGCTAAAAGATTGTCCTAGTTTGAGCTAGAACAGAACAAATTCTGTTCAGTGATTTTACTGTTCAGCTATGTCTCTAAGTAGCACACTTTCTGAACTTAGCAGCATATTTTTGCAGACAGTGTCTGCTTCTAGCAGTGATAATGCTCCATGTTGAGAGTTACTACCAAGCTTTGGTATGCAGAAAGGCTCTTCCTTGTACTTGCTCTTGTGCAGACCAAGGTCACTGCTAAATCATGTGTACCACGTTGGGGGTGCAGTATGCAAGAGGTCACACCTGCAGGGAGGACTGCACAGGACAGGTGACCCTAAACTGACTAACAAAGTATTCCATCCCATATACATCATATTCAGTATAAAGCTGAAGGCTCATGAGGGTCAAACTCTCTTCTTCAAGGGCCAGCCTGTGAAGAGGATCCTGTTCTGCTTTTGATCCCAGTCCACATTCCTGAATCCAGTTCCAGAACCCAGCTCCTGAATCTGATTTCTGTCTGCCACTGAGTTCAGTCTGGGAGTGTCTGTCATTCATCTAGTGGCCACTCCAGCCCTAACCCTTCTCAAAGGTTTTGTTACTGGATTAGGGAACACGAAAGTCAGTGTACCTGAAGTTACCCTAATAAATCCACCTATTCTGATTTTCAGAGGGACTAATCTCTCTAGCTTTACTTGCCAGCCAGGAATCTTCTTACAACAAGATGACGATTCACATTTTTAAGATATTAGTAAGTAGACCATACAATTAACTTCTTGGCTTTGCAACATGCAATCTGCAACACGAAGATGACAGTAATTCCATCCATATAGCACAATAAGGTGCCACAGAAGGCTACTGGCAACAGCTGAGCCATACAAGCAGTGCACTCTGCCTGACTGGGCCAGGGTATTCCTGTCAGCTTTCTATCCAACCACTACCTGTTAGGTACAGGCCTTGCACTTAGAACTTAACTCTGAAACCTAACCAGCCAAGCTATATCAGTAAGTTGCCAAGCATAAACCAAGGCTAACAATGAAAACAAAATACTGGCTTAAAGCAAGCAGCAGTGGAAAGCATCAGATCACAGAGTATGAAAAATCTTAGTCTGACTGATGTACATACCAGTATCCTACCATGCTTCCAATGCCTCTAGAGAAGTACACTGTTACAGAAGCATCATAGAGGACTGTATATATTGGAGAAAATCCCAGTACAGAACAGAAATTTTTATTTTTTAAATCAGCTCATTATTGAAGACTTCAGTAATACCAAAGTTACACAGTCACAAAGCAACTACAAAAGCCAAATGTTTCACTATTTAATTCTAGGTTATTGTCTTGCACTTTTGTAATAATGCTTTGTAGTTAGACCTTAAGCAATGTGATTAATGTGTTACAGTGCTGAATGCAGAAGCGATGTAGATCCCCAAGGAAAGAGGAGCAAGACTGCAAATTGGTGCAGGTGAGCTCCTTCCATGTGGTTTAAGCATAGGTATATACAAATATGCCACACTGGTATTAATGGTCTCCTTAAGAAATTACTATTAGCAAGGGCCTTCTCTTACTTCCCACCCTGCCAAACCCTTTCATTTTCATGTATGGAAAGTCGTGTCAGCAGCCTCATGCTTTGGGAGATTATTTTAGTGACAGCAGAACAATTTTATGTGTGCAAAAATAAGTATAAATGTCACAAGGCACAAACAAAGCATAACAGAATATGGGCAAACATCAAATCTGAGACTATTCCCTAGCCTATAACCAGCTCTCAAAAACACTGTCTCCTTCACCAATGAAGGAGAAGGCTCAATGCCATTGGCCTGAGCCATCGCCAGCCACAGGAACAAAGACTAAGACCTTCAGCCTAAATACTCTGTGGAAAGCTGAATTATACAACAAAGCATAGCCAGGACTTCTGACAAGACTAATGGAAGCATTCTGGAGTTGCTATAGCTTTGTGCCCAAGCATTGCTCTCATCTCTATCACTCTGCCTCTGGAAAGAAGTGTAACAAAGGCTGAGTTGTATCTATACTGATATGATGGAAACTTAGCTTGGGTTGGTAAGAAACATTCCTGCTATGTGAAATTCTGTCCTTTGCTGTGCTACGAGCACTTGAAACTTTGGAGTGAACTAACCAAATGTATAATACCAAACAAAACGAAACCTCACACTTTTTCCAGAACACACTACTTCATTTGTCAGCGTATTACCAGCTTTGTTTGGAGTTAATTTCAAGTAGTAGTTTTACATCTGTTACTAGATCTCATTCCAGACCTGGGCCACCACTGCTGCAGCAGAATAAAGTCTGAATGCATCTGATACATAAACAACATTTAACAGCCATCTTTCATGTATATCATGCAGTTATCTGCCCAAAAGAATAGTTCAGATATTAGGACTGGTTTCCAAACCCACAGTTTAGAGATTTATATGCACCATATTGCTAGGAAGCACTTGTGGCAATACTGGCTACATACTGTTGCCTCACTGCTTATATACTCTACATGTCAAGTCCATACGCAATATAAATTGCATTTTTGTCTGTGTGCAATTTATTCTTTATGAACATTAGCCATTGAGTTTTAATTAGCCCTAAAAAGAATGCTGTTAAAACCTGCAGGATGATATTGTGAAGACATACCTGATAAGATGACTGACAAATTGACTACAAGTCTCCTTTCAGTCAGTAAGAATATTCTGTGCACAACAGAATATGCTGATACTGCTCTGTGAGCTGTTAGGCTTGTAAGCGCCAAAGCCAGAAAGCCCCACTTACATCATGCAAATCTGCCAGTGTTGGTGCTAGACTCCACAGCCCTTAACAAGGTTCTTAAGAGGTACTGTAACCAAGATTATAACAAGAGATTTGTTTGATGGGAAATTATTTTAAAATCTGTAATTTTTTATTTATTTAAAAAAAAAAAAA